AGCCCGAAGTTTTTGTAGTTTGTCCTTTGGTTTTTGTCATCAATAGCATTCACAGAAGTGTTGGAAGTGGAAGTATCTAGAATCATCTTTTTAATTGAATGAGGATTTCTGCAGCTAAGGTAGCATATTTAAGGGAGAACAAAAACCAGTTCAATCTAGTTCTTTACAGAATGATGCAATACCATTATAAGACTGAATACTAAATACTATATTTAGAAACTTCTCAACAGTGAATGCCACAAGAAAATTTCCAAGAAACATTTGCTTGTATTTGATGCTGAGAAAGGATAGGCATCTCAGTAGTTACATTGTTACTTAAAAGAACCAGAATTTCTTAATATCCTACATGCAAGTATGGAGCTGCTTGGTTTTAATATATAATTAGAGTGAAAAACAAAAAGAAAATAACAAAAGAAAGTGCCAGAACCAAAGCTCCCTCTCATATACTTTGGTCTCATGCAAGGTTGATGAGATTAAGACAATATTCTTACATTTTTGGTTTTTCTATCAGCAGTTTCTAGAACACACTGTAATGGAGAAATATACTTGAATTATCACTGAAGACTTAGATATTTAAAGTTCACATGTAACTGACATTAATTCTCAATGTTCCATTTTAAGCTTTTACATTAAAAGCCTTGTAGATTTCATCCTTTAATATAAATAATTTGCAGGGATCTCAGTGAAAACTGCTATTTAATTTACAGAGTGGATTTTTATTACTCAACTTCAAAGATATTTGTCAGAGTACATTCTAGTGATTATAATTAAAATGTTTTTTAAACTCCCCCCAAAGAAAAAAATGTAAGAGCAAAAAAGACTGTATTAAATATTTTACTAATTAAGATCTATATTCCTGCCAGAATAAGTAAAGGAAATGATTTGGAATATGGCAAGTGTCTATTGAGAATTAACATCACACTTTGGAGAGATCATGATGAGTGGAAATTAAATTAGTCATAAAGGACACAGCAGAAAACATACGTTGAAGTTTTTCTGTCCCAGGAGATAGGAAGTCACACTGGCTAGTACAGTTTACCTTCAGAATTCATATATCCTGGAAGGTATGCTACTGTCTATGCTCAGCTGTTAACAGCACCATTAGTGCAGTCCTTACACCACCAGATGGAAAGGTGCTTAGCTCCCTAATCCCTGTGGAGATTGTAAAGCAATGCTTCGGCTTTCCCATGAGCTTCCTTGTCCTGTCCCTGAAGTTCTGGCATGTCCCAAGGCAGTGGTCACCAAATGGACCATTAACACTGCAGGAGCGCAGGTGGGGTGAGGCGAACTCACTCTGCTTACAAAATGAGTCCTCCTACAAATACATTTCTGGAAACATTTTTTACATGAAGAAATGCTCAACATCTCTGGCCATAAAGAAAATACAAATCAAAACAACACTGAGATTCCACTTCATTCCAGTCAGAATGGCCATTATCAACCAAACAAACAGTAACAGATGATAGCGATTTGTGCTCAGAAGAGACACATATATTATACTGCTGGTGGACATATGAACTTGTTCAACCACTCTGGAAAGCAGAATGGAGGTCCTTTAAAAAATTAAACATAGAACTACCCTATTAGTTCAAGCCTCCTGATCTATAAAACAAAACAAAAAAAAAGAACTACCCCATGACCCAGCAATTCCATTCCTGGGCATTTATCCAAACCGGGTTACTGTACAAACATGTTCAGTGCAGCACTATTCACCATAGCCAAGGTATAAAATCAGCCCAGATTCCCCTCAATGGACAAATGAAGCAAGAAAATGGTGTATATATACACAATGGAATTTTGCTCATTCATTAGAATGAATGATATCATCCCATTTGTAAAGAAATGGGGGACTTTGAAAAAATATATATTAAGTGAAGTAAGTCAGGCCCAAAGGACAAACAAAAGTTGCAGGTTTTCCTTATATGTGAAAGCTAGAATTAACCTATGAACCTATAGATAAATGCATTGGGAGTTATGCAAGGCTATATAAATGTATTAACTGAAATATAGTAGATTCAAGGGAGAACTCAAATAGTGTAATTCTTTAGAAAGGCAAAATCAAAGCCCAATAAAATAAGCACCAGGAAATGGTACTTACACGGCAGGGTGGGGCCAAGGGGGTAAGGGTAGATGAATGATGATAAGGAGAAGAGAACGAAGTCAAAAATTCAATGTATATATTACAAAATTAAGAAAAGTAAGAGAAGAGTGGGAGAGGTGGGTGAGAATGTTCAAAGGAGTGAAACAGACCAAGATACATTGTATTCATTAACTGCTTTGTTAAATGGAAATTCCTTTGTGCTACTACTTAAAGATAATTTTTAACATTCCATTTCAAGAGAGGAAGTCAAAACTTATATCAAAATAAAAATTTACTATGGAATAATGGTTGTGGGTGTAAAACCTCCAAAGGGACCGTTTTAGACATTAGCAGCAGTGCAAGTGAGGGAATGACTTTAATGACTATCAATGAAATTCTTTTACATTCTTAAATCAACTGATGGAAGTAATTGAGCTGTCAATGATTAGTTATTTAAAATGAGTTTGGTGGTTTGTCACTGAAGGCTTTTTAACATATAATGAAAAGCAATTTGTGATTCCAATATGTTAATTCCAAGATACTGTGAAGGTCGTCTTTATAGACATTAAAAAATAAACTGGATATATGACTAAATTGAGAATCTCTGAAAGGAGTTTATCCATTACTAGAAGGTTCCTAGGTAATACTATTATAAGAAAGAAAACAAGTATGTAATCTGACCATAGAAACAGAGTTGACAGTGATAGAGCCACAGGCCAAGGAATTCTGGAAGAGTTAAGGATGAAACATATCCCCATTGACACCTATGTTTCAATACACTGATACTAGTTTCAGACCTCCACAAGTATAATAAAATAAATTCCTGTGATTTTTAAGCTACAGAGTTTGTGATAAATTATTTCAGCAACCAAATAAAACTAGTACAGAGTTCAAATAATGAAATGACTTTTCCATTACAAACACTTCCCTTTCTCATCTACTTAAACACAGAAACATAATTTTTCATATTAATATCTACAAATGTATAAACTGGAGAAAAAAACTGTTGCCGGACCCTATCGACTCCAATATAGGAATGACTTTTTTCTAATTAAAAAAATATGTCAAGCATTCTCCATAGTTCACAATGGAGAGATGTATTTCCAATTAAATATTTTAAAAGGTTATTTATTATGCTTATGCATTGAAATGTGAAGGATTTAACTTATTTCTTCAAGAAAATGTATGTTGTACATTCTCATAAAGAAAAGTACAAGCACACTAACCTGTAGCTGCCCACATTTTAGTCAATTCAAGAAGCTGTCCACGAGACATGTTGTTTCCTTAATTTCTCCTAAAGTTTACATTATACTACTAAAATTATGAAATTTATCTCTCCATGAATAATAACTATATGTTAGTTCCAAAGTTTCCCTAAATTATTACTTTAATAAGGAAAGGCAGTAAATTTATAATATATTTTTGTGCATTTTTATTGTAAAAATGCTGTACAGGTGGGTTACAGTTACATGAGCAAGGTAATGAGTACATTTCCTATTGAACATTATTGCCTCTTCCTTTGTTTTCCCCCTACCATCCCTTTCTTCCCACTGTATACCCTATCTTTTTTCCATTCTGGGCTTTTGTCAACCACTGATAGCCAAAAATAAAAAGAGAGAAAAAAGGACAACTTTCAACATGTTATACCATCTTCTCTGTTTTTATGCAGGTAAAGAAAGCCTTTGACATATGATCTCTGTTAGAAAAAGAAATTTGAAACTATGATTCTGGATTCTTACCTACACCTATATGAGGCAGGTGTTCAAACAGGGTCCAGCTGTGGTCATCAACATAATGGTTCTTCAGAATCAAGAGCTGGCAGACATCTCGGGCAGTTATGTCACTGGGAACCTCCAAAGCCCGGCTAGTTTCATCTTCACTGTATATCTTAATAACCTATGAAAGGAGAAACAAACAAAATAAAAAGAGCTAAATCAGATGCTGGTAGCTCACACCTGAATTTTTACTACCTGGGAGACTGATATCAGGAGGATTCTAGTTTGAGGCCAGTTTGAACATACACATAAGAATTCATTCTGATGGAGGCATAGCATACCATTGTGTGTGTGTGTGTGTGTGTGTGTGTGTGTGTGTGTGTGTACACACACATACACACAATGGAATATATATATAAATATATCACATTCTCTTGATCCATTCTATTGGGGGCATATGGGTAAATAATGCTGCAATAAACATAGTTTTGCTAGTAGTTTTAGTATGATCTTGTTTGTGATCATTCAGGTAAATGCCCAAAAGTGGAATCGCTGGGTCACGGGGGAGCTCTATGTGGAGTCTTTTGAGGAACCTCCATACTACTTTCCTAAGTGGTTGAACAAGTTTACACTCCTACCAACAATGCAGTAGGATTCCTTTCTGGCCACATCCCCTCCAGTATCTGTTGTGATTAGAGTTCTTGATTATTGCCATTCTAACTGGGGTGAGGTGGGATCTCTTTTTGATTTGCATTTCTTTTATGGCTAGAGCAGTTGAGCATTTCTTCATGTGTCTATTGGCCTCTATTTCCTCTTCAGAAAAGTTTCTCTTTAAGTCTTTAGCCCAGATAAAGACTTTTAAGTCTTTATCAGGCAGTGTTTCTTTGAGAATTTGTTGTCGGGGGATTTAATTTTTTGAGTTCCAAGTATATTTTAGATATGAGACCCTTGTCAGTTGTATGGATAGTGAAGATCTCTCACTCTGTGAGCTTTGTATTGATCTTGCTAGCTATGTCCTTTGCCATGCAGAAGCTCTGCAGCTTCATGCAAGCCCATTTGTCTAACCTTTCTTTGATTTGTTGTGTTTCTGGGTCTCTATTAAGAAAATTTTGGCCTGTGCCAAGGATGCCTAGAGTTTCTCCTAATCCTTTCTGAAGGTGTCTGCTTACACTCCAAGGTCTTTGATCCATTTGGAGTTGAGTGTAGTGCAGGGTGATGTATAAGGATCTAGCTTTAGTTTTCTACAGGTGATTAACAAAATTTGCCAGTACCATTTACTGAAGAGGCTGTCTTTCTTCCATTCTATTTTTTTAGCTCCCTATCAAAGATTAGATGGCTACAGGTCTGTGGGTTCATTTCTGGGTTTTCAATTCTATTCCATTGGTCCTGAAGTCTGTTCTTGTGCCAGTACCAAGCTGTTTTGATTACTATGGTTTTGTAGTAGAGTTTGAAATTTGGTATTGATATTCTTCCAGCACTGTTCTTTCTGTTAAGGATCGTTTTTGCTATTTGTGGTCTTTATTGTTCCCTATGAATTTTTGGATTGCCTCTTCTATTTCCTTGAATGAGGTTGGAATATTGATAGGTATCGCATTGAATTTGTAGATAGCCTTTTCATGATATTGATCCTTCTGATCAGGAGCCTGGGAGGTTTTTTTTTCCACTTTCTAAGTTCTCCTTTGATTTCTTTTACAGGTTTTTAAAGTTTTCATCATAGAGGTCTTTCACTTCTTTGGTTAATTCTTAGGTATTTTATTTGTTGTGGGGCTATTACGAATTGAGTTGCTTTCCTGATTTCAGCTGTGCTCATCAAAACAACATTGAGATTCCACCTCACCCCAGTTAGAATGGCTATAATCAAGAACTCTAGTAACAGATGCTGGAGGGCATGTGGCTAGAAGGGAACCTTACTGCATTGTTGGTGGGAGTGTAAACTTGTTCAACCACTTAGGAAAGCAGTATGGAGGTTCCTCAAAAGAGCTCCTCTATGATGTAGCAATCCCACTTTTGGGCATTTACCCAAATGTTTACAAACAAGACCACACTAAAGCTACCAACACAACTATGTTTATTGCAGCATTATTTACAATAGTTAAGATATGGAACCAACCCAGATGCCCCTTAGTAGATGAATGGATCAAGAAAATATGGTATGTATATATATTTATATATAATGGAATTCTATGCTTCCATCAGAAAGAATGACATTGCCCCATTTGTTAGGAAATGGCAAGACTTGGAAAAAATTATATTAAGTGAAGTAAGCCAGGCCCAAGGAAACATAGTTCTCATGGTTTCCCTTATTTACAATAACTAGTATATGTCAGGGACAAGCAGAAAAGATCAAATAAGATGATGATAAGCGAAATGAAAACAAAGATAGAGACATGAGTGTTTTTTCTTTGTTGCTACTGTTTCTAACATATTTATAATGTAACATGTGATTTTTTTGTTGCTTTGTTTGTCCCTCCCCCACGGTATAACCCCTGTTTTTACTGCATCTGACGTTGCTATAATTTGGGGAGGGGAAGGGAAAAAACAAATAGTTTAAATAGGTATACAGGTGGACCCATTGCAACAATGAGATGTACAAGATGCTATGTCGAAAAATGAACTTTACAATTCAGTTGGGGGCAGAGAGCGTAGTTGAGATGGTGGGAGGGAAGGGATGGTAGGGGAAAAACAAAGGAGGAGGCAACAATGCTTGATAAGAAATGTACTCATTACCTTGCTCATGCAACTGCAACCCATCTCTACAGTATTTTCACAATAAAAAAAATAACAAAATCAAAAAGTGCTCGGGCAAAACTCAAGTGATGGAGTACCTACCTCATATACCTCAATCCCCAGTATTATAAAATAACAAAACTAGAAATAAGTTCTCTAGTTTGGATATTAAGGGGAAAAAAGAATTTTTCAGAAAAAATGTATAATAACAAACTGCTTAAATAAGGGTACAGGTTGACCCATTGTAACAATGAGAAGTACAAAGCACTATGTTGAAAACAAACTTTACAACTTGGCAGGAGAGGGAGGAGTTGTGGAGGTGGGGAGGGAAGGGATAGAAGGTTAAATACAAAGGAGGAGATAACAATACACGATAGGAAATGTATTCATTGCCTTACTCATATAACTGTAACCCTTCTGTACAGTATCTTTACAATAAAAACATATTTTAAAAAAGAATTCATTCAATAACTTAGTGTAGTGGTGTGTATCTAACATCACAGCTGTGTTGGAGACTGAGATCAGAAGGATCATGGTTCCAGGCTGGCTGGCTGGAATAAGTAGAAAAATCCAGAGACTTTAACTCAATGGAAAGGAGATGGGGATGGGGTTGAGCGCCTGTCACTCCAGCTATGACAGGAAGCTTAAAATAGGCAAATCATTGTCCGGATGTGTTCCTGGGCAGAGAGCAATACCTTAACTCAAAATTACACAGGGCAGCAAGAATGAACTGGAGGCATGGATCAGGTAGAATGCCTGCCTAGCACAAGGCCAGAAGTTCAAACTCCATCCATAAGAAAAACAGCTTTAAAGAAATGGTTACTGTGGTGATGCAAACTGGCATATCTCCCATTGTTACTCATATTTTGTGTATGGTAAGAACAGCTAAATTCATACTTTTGCTGAAATCATTTAGCAAAAATACTCAACACAATACAGTGCCTGTACCTGTCTATCCAACACATGCTAGTCTGAAGATATTGACCTAGTCCTCTCATCTATATTGCTCAACTCATTTACTCTAACCTGTTCACCACATCTGTATATTTGATGTTTTTACTTTTACAAAGGTACAGAAATAAGTGAGATTATGCAATGTTTGCAATTCTTTTTTTGAATTTTTCACTTTTAATAATGTCCTCTAAGTTTAGACATGTGCCAAATGGCAGATTGGCAGGTGTGTGTGTGTGTGTGTGTGTTCTGGTCTTTGGGGTTGAACTGAGCTGTTTTACTGAAGGCTATTGCCTCACCACTTGAACTATACCTACACTTCTGGCTTTTTGGTAATGGAAGATTAATCTTATGAACTTTAATGCATGGGCTGGATTTGAACCTAGATCCTCAGATGTCAGCCTTTTGAGTGACTAGGATTACAGGCATGAGCTACTGGCAGCTAGCTTCTGACCTTTTTAAAAATCTTTCTTTAATGTACAAATGGATGTACAAGGGAGTCACAATTTAACATTTCCATTCAGGTGTACAGGGTATCTTGATCTGCATCACTCTTCAATCCTTGTCTCCTCATCCAACCCTTCTTCCCCAGTCATATGAAGTTACTAACTTCCCTTTTCACATATGTACCTTAAGTATTAGGACTACATTCACCCACCCTTCCCTTTTCCACTCATTCCCTTCCTCTACTAACATTCAAAAAACATGTTTCAGCTGCCTGATATTCATTTTGTTGAACTGCAGACTTCTTTTAAATAATAACTACATTGCATTGCAATGGAACATCACACACACAGAGACACGGACAGACACAGTGTTTGTTTGTGGTTTTTTTTCATTCACTAATGGGACATTTAGGTTATTTTAATATCATGTCTATTGGTAATAATGCTGCATTGAGCACTAGACTATAGTTATCTTTGAGAGGTGGTGAGTCCATTTCTTTGGGGCTTATATACTGAAGGGAGGTTGCTGATTCTGTTTTTAAGTGCTTAAAACCATTTCCTGTAAATGAGTACTAATCAGCACACCACCCCATAGTATAAAGGCTTCCTTTTCTCTACAGCCTCACTAATACTTCTGTCATTTCTTATGTCTTTGAGAACAAATGCCCTAATAGATGTGAGGTGATTTCATAAAGAATATGATTTTTGTTTCTCTGATGATTAGTGGTATTTGCCACCTTATTATGGATCTGTTGTCCATTTCTATATCTTCTGTGGAGAATTGTACATTCTGAGTCTTTGCTTATTTTTTAATTAGACTGCTTTTCTACTGTCAAGTAGAAAAGTTGACTATAAATTCTCTGTACAATATTCTAAGCATTTAATTTTCTTATACTTTGATCAAATACTACATATCTGTTACTTGATTATCTGTCAAAGTTACTTTGCCTAGCAACTTCTATGCTCTTCTTTTCAGTATCTCCAGTAAAAGGAATATAATGCCTCTTCAAAATCATTTCCCACCATTCTTGTGCATTAGAAAGCTACATACCACTCA